GGGGGGGGGGAGGGAAGACGGGCAAGGGGCAGTGAAAACTGATTGGATCAGGTTTGCAGGGTGTTCTGAAGGAAGTCTAGCAAGTCAGGGTTAAGGAGGTCAGGGAGGTGTGACATGCAAAACTTTGCCAAACAGGATTCCATGCGTTCGAAATCAGCCCCACAGTTCCATGTGCCCCCTTCCTCCCTCCTCTGCCCCCATCTTCCCATCCTGCCAAGGTTGAATAGCCCATCATCTGCTGCAGAGTCCTGACCAGGGATCACAAGTGGCCTACAAGACTGCCTCTTGGGCTAGTCAGAGACCTGACTCGTCTGCCTCAACCAACCGGCCCTGAAGCACCACAGGGTTTCAACCCTTGTTGTCAGTGCCGAGAGCGGCCAAGATTACGGCCAAGATTACGGTTTCACCCCTTGTTGTCAGTGCCTTTCTTTGTTTGCTTGTTTGCTTGTTTGTTTGTTTGTTTGCTTGTTTGCTTGCTTGTTTGTTTGCTTGTTTGTTTGCTTATTTGTTTGCTTGTGTGTTTGCTTATTTGTTTGCTAGTTTGTTTCCTTGCTTGTTTTCTTGTTCATTCGTTTGTTTGTTTGCTTGTTTGTTTGCTTGAGTTGCAGCATCGAGATCTGCGCTGTTTGTTTGTTTGTTTGTTTCTGAAACGAGCAGCACTATTTTCTTTTTCTTGGAAAAAAGGAAAAGAAGAGGCCTGTCTGCCTTTCTTATGTTCTCTTTGATCCCGGTGTGAACCTCCCCTCCTCTATCGCAATTCAGAGACAGGAGAGAGAGCTATTCGCTCTTTCTTTCTTTTCTTTCTTCATACCTTGCTGGATCTTTTGTATACCGGATGCAAAGATGCAGAAGCATGTGAGATCCTGAGAGAGACAGGCAGACCGAGCTGGACAACCACACAGGCTTTGCCTCTTGCCGAGCTGCGGGGACACTATGGACTGGAAGAACAAAAGTGCTATTCCAAAATGGCCGCCATTGTTATTGCCAATGTCCTGTCTCAAAAAAACATTGCCACTCGTCTTTCATCCGATAAGCGAGTGGGAGGCTTCAAGAGCGTCTTCTAGAGCGAAAATGCCAGGGGCATTTTCTAGAAGCTGAGAGGTCAAAAAGGCCCCATGCAGAATTTTCTGGCCGCCCGATTTCCTGGTCAGGCAGCAATCACTAGCATCAGGCCTAGCCCTTTTCGCCTCTTAAAGCCTGGTTGTACTGCACAAAAGGTTCAAATTCATCCACCACTACCAATTTTATTTCTAGTCCTTGGCCTACCAGTTCTAATCAGATTTTATTTTTTCTGGCCCTTGGCCTACCAGTTCTAATCTGGTTATAACTCCACCCAGATGCAGTTTGGTAGGCTCTACCAGTGTATTTCCAGGCCCTCTCTCAAATGGAAGAGCCCCCACGGCGATTTCCGGCGACCAGAAACTCGCCCCCCGCCCTTCTAGTGCCTGTCTAACTGGTGCTGATGACCCCATCAAACCGGCGGGCCAGCGAATTCCCAAACCTCCAGACAGCAACCTTGGCCTGCCTGATTGCCAAGCACAGCATCCCTTCCTAGCATCGGATCAGGGTTACCAACCTTGCCGGCCCTTTTCGCAGATAGCTGGCAGGGTACTCGCGGTCTAAACGTGTGAAGCCAGTAGTTGGCAATCTGTGCCCCAACGGCAGACTGCTACAACACACAAGGACTCCCACGGCTAACACACCTATTTTCAGAACACAGAAAAACAGACATAAAAAGTACCAATAACAACATATGCTTCCGCATGTCTCTGTTCAGAAGCGACCCACAGTAGATTGACACAGCACTCAACCAGTACACTTCCATACTGTTCTTTCATGCATTGGCCAAGATGGGAAAAGAAAGAGAGAGAGAGGGAGAGACAGAGAAATAGAGGGAGACAGAGACAGATACAGAGACAGAGAGAGAAAGCGACATGACACACATTCCCGTACATCTACATTGACACAGAAACCGGCAGTCAACTGATAGCTCTGCAAAATGGTAGACCGTCATGCCCTTGCAGTCTCCCAATTCAGCATGACTATTACCCCCCCCCAACCCTCTTCTCCCCTCCCCGGCCCTTCTGTAAGAACATAAAAAAAGATGTCCATCACACTGGGCGGCCAGCAAAGCGAAAAGAAGTACACTGCCAAACAGCCTGATGATTTGCACTTGTGGGTTCAAAGAGTGCCCAGCATTACTGATCATCCTGAGCAGAAAGCATATTCCCTTCTCACCATAGACTAGGAGACGAACCAAAAGAAGAAACACGAAACGAGCTAGTAGGCGTCATGTCAGTACCTGCAAGGCTGGTATAGCAGCACATGTCAGTGCCCACATGGCTTGCTGGACATACACGTGAAGAACAAACTTGCATGCAGCATCACAGGTATTCATGCCTGCTCACAAAAAGAGAGAGCCATCAAAGGCATGGAGGACGTTCACGCAGCAAAGTCAGATTCGACCTCCAAATGACCGCCATGCCAGATGAACACTTGCATGGACACAGAATACTACTACCTGAAAACACTGAAAAAAGTTTGCTGCTGCCCTGGAAGCATACATGCAGACAAAGCTCATAGGTCATCGACCAACAAGTAGTTCCACACATGTTACCCAAAGACCTACAGCAAAGCATGGGACCTAACAGTCAATGTCTAAACCCCAGAAACGATGCTATAAAACACAGTCTGAGTCGTGTGCAAGTCTCTGCACATGTGCGCGTGATTACGAGGGCTTAGTGCTATGGCAGGATAGTAAGAGACGATAAGCGAGAGGGAGCGACAGAGGGAGAGAGGACAGTGGTTTCAGAAAGAGAGAGACAGAGAGAGAGGTCCTGACCCATTCTGGCTTAGCCAACAGTCTTTCCCCTGGATGCAATGCATCCTACACATGTATTAAGCTATATTTCTCAGTTAGATACAGTCGTGATGGTATCTTCTATTCCGCGGGGGACGGTAATAGTCAGTCTTTCTAGATCAGGCAAATGCTCATGGACCTGGGAACGTAAGCTTCCATTTCATTGCGCATTGGACTCGTTTGTGTGTTTTGGCCCTTTCTGGCCAAATTATGTTCAGCACTTTGTTCATTCTGAGTAATCAAGTCTCTGCATGCACTACACGTTCACAATTGTTTGAGCACTGGAGAACATACTCACCACACTGGGACTTCTTTTATTCTATGTGACTACGAGTTTGCCAGCCCGTGGTACCTGACCGCAATTACAGCACGTTCGGCATGTATCTGACTGCAGTTGCATCCAGAGATCAGCCCAAAGAGTCCTACTTGTGTGCGAGTGCACCCTGAGGATGTGTGCGAGTACACACTGAGGGATCCAAAGACGACGGTACGCCATCAAACTTGCCAACTCCTCGCACTCAAACTGGTCTTTTTCTTTGGCTGCTTTGGCTGCAGGAATTTCCCTCAGGCTGAACAATTGCTGTGATGCCGGTTATTGCTGACTTATCAGGCCATCCAGCCGAGGTCG